TCCTTCACCCAAGAAAGTCCAACAAGACAAAAAGCCCAAACCACAAAATCCAGATGGCCCAAGACAATCCGAGCCCAAAACTGAAGCCCTAAACGAAGAGGCCCAAATTGCAGCGTACGTGGGGCGTATACGAGGCTGCGCAGAATCCACCATCGAGGTAGTTGATTGGTTACGCGGGACGTGTAGCTCCTTACGCGGGGCATACCCTCGCACAACTCATCTTTGTCATAAGTGCTTAATGGCTTCAGCACTTAAGCTCACACTTCAGATCCAGGGTCCAGAGGCATACTAGGGTCATAAAGTCTCCAACTTTATGACCTTACACGTCCATAAAGCTCTTAATAAGAGGTCTTAATCCATTAAGACCCTTCTACCAAAAGTATGAGACACTTCTAGCCAGTGGGACCTCATTTTTATTACCAAGGACCCCTCCAAGGGTCTGAAAGGACGACTCAAAACCTCCAGAACATGCCATGCTCAAGATGAAGCATTTAGGATAAAAAAGAAGCATAAAAAGACCCAAACATGAAATCTATTAAAAGAACCATAAAGGTATGAACTTTATACCTTTAGATGATGGAGAAAAGAGCCAAACTTCCAGATCCAATCCTTGCTTCAAGCTTCCAAGCTTCTTGATGCACCTTTCCTTCCTTCAAAACACCAAGAACTCACTTTAGGGCTCAAAATCACACTCAAGGGGGTTAGGGTTTTTCAAGAACGACTCTAAGGCTTTGGAGGCAGAAAAGGTGGGGATAAATGGCCATAAGGATGCTTAAATACCCCTCAAACCCTAAAACTTAGGGTTTCTTTCGGACATGAGTACGCCCAACGTACATGTGTATGCTCAGCGTACTAGGGCACACCCTAGTACGCTTAGCGTACTAACATGTACGCTCAGCGTACCACTCCTTCATCCAAAATTACAATCTTGCCACTAGCTCTTCTTGCGACTACTTCCTTCCAAAACAAGGAACAAAATGACATACTATAAAACTAAGAGATGAACTTGAAAATACCTGAAAATCGAGGTGTTACAAACATTGTCGGGTGCAAAAAACAAATATGTAACGACATTAAATGCATAAAAAAATCACATAACAACATCTGATTTGGTATCAAATAGTGTTATAATTCCATACCAAAATAAACGACAAAAGTGTTATAATTCCAACAAGTACCAAAGTGTCACAACAAGTCTAACATACAAAACGCAAATTAATTATCCGACGAACCATCATCTCCGTTCCCCTTGTTTCCTCCTTGATCTTTCTCGACTGAAAAAAACGCATAAAGTTCCTTCCTACACGCCAGGTCGTTGAGCATTGCCCGAAGATTTTCCAAATATATAACAAATACCAAAATATATAAACTTATAGGTTAAACTATCAAACGTAAACAAAAACTACCAAAGTACATTGCTATTTCTTGCACTTAAATACATGAAATACCAAACGAACATTGTTATTTCTTGTACTTTGGACAAAAACACAATTACAAACACAATTACCAAATCAACATGCATTTATTGATGCCAAAGTACATTGTTATTTTTAAATTATGGACAAATTACAAGAAAGTACTGTAACATATGTTTTGCAGTGTGTTTCGAAAAATATAAACATCGTAGTCTAGGAGTCACAGGAAAGTACCATAACACCTTATAAGCTACTTTCTTACCTTTGGTGTTTTTATCGATCCATCGACTCTCTTTACAAACGGTACAAATCTGCAATGACTCGTGTTCTTTCCAAAAGAGAAAACAATTGTTTTTGTACACATGTATCGACTCGTACCCCAGACCAATCTTCTTCAATTTCTTTTTGGCTAGATAATGTGAAAGGGGAACCTTGTTGTCTTTGGGAAATGCTGATTGCAATAACTCAAGGAGTTAATCAAATGAGCTATCAGTCTATTTGTTGTTCACCTTGATATGAATTAACTTTGCTAAAAAATCAAGGGAAGAAAAAGTGCAACCAGGATAATTTTTAGTTTTCAATTCTTCTATCAATTGTGCAAAATCATCATCCACACCGCCACCCCATGTATTCGAGGTTCCTTCATCGACGTTAATATCATTTTCTCTCGATTCCCACATCACATTGTCGATAACATCAGCCATTTCGTTACTTGGCGCTACAACATCTACAATAGGAGGAATTAAAGGTTCCCCATGAAAGATCCATGTTTTGTACGAATTACTGAAACCATTTATAAAAATGTGTTGTTTCACTAATTTTGGGTACTTCAAGTAACGATTATCACATTGTTGACATGCACATCTGATTTTACTATTACTTTGGACTTCTCGATAAAAGGGTTGAGTCCTACTTGGAACTCGAGATAGTTTCGATGTGGATTACTAGTCCAACTTTTATATATAGACATGATGTTGCTGAAACATAATTTCGGGTTTAGAGTTTACTCTACGGAAAACAAAAATCAGATAGAGTATTCATAAAGTAGATGATTGACAAAATATCCTCTAAAACGGGGACAACAATTCGAAAACAGCTAGAGTATTAACAAGGTATGGTTCTAAACCCCTTTTTTGAATACCTTATCTCATATGTAAACGTACATTACATGATTGTATGTTTAAGAAAAATTTGGCAGCATTTCCCCTTAGCTGCCAAGTATATA